TAGTTCAAATAAGTTCCCAGCGGAGAATTTCCGACTCCTTCCCTATCCCGTCAAGAATTTCAATCTTTTTTCCTACAACGACTGCCTCACCCTTGGCAGTGCTCCAAACCATTGGAAACTTACGATCATTACTTTTTAAAGGCAACCAAAGAGTCTATCTATCTCCTTGACCAATTCTATCTATAAAAATTATGTCTATATAATTCACCAGCGGCTTGCCCACTCTTTGGACCAATACCTTCAGCCCTAGCAATATAATTTACGTGCTAATTACTCTTTCTTTACCCGCTCTTCCTTTTTCGTCGCCTCACCGAAATTTTCGAGTCACGCTCCGCCTTCTTCTATATTCTCTTTCAACTGATCTCTTGCCTTTGATAATATGACTCGTCCTCCCTTTTCAGCCGCTCTCACTCTCCGGCGTTATGGAATTCTTGCTCTCCTTGTCTAGGCTATCTTAGCGCTCTATCATAACGGCATTTTTTTCAGACTCCACCTCTGACTGCCCTTGTTTCCTATTGGACCGTGGAATCCGTCGAAGCCGGTTCCTCTTTCCATATCTCTTCATTATCAGCCCCTGCCGCTGATCTCCATTCCTCCTTCCGCCACATACACGTTGGATTGCTCATATGCTCTTCGCTTGCAGGTGTGGATTTTTTTGATGACACTGTCGTCGTCATAAGTCGTCAAAGTAATGATGACGTGCCCGTGCCAATGAAATATTTTCCCGCCTCCCTGACCTGCTTTAGAGCCCAGTTCAGGTTGGGCCCGAGGGTTGGGAGCCCCATTCTGTAAGCACAGAATGGTGTGCCCAAGGTGCACTTCTTACAAAATGGCAGAACTCAACGTTCACATACATAATGTTTTGTTACAAAATGGCAGCCTAAGCTGACCCCCAGTTACAGAATCGTACCCGAATCTTGCTGGACTCGCATCCTCTCGCATCCGCTCGTTCGAACTGGGCCCTTACAGAATGGTCGAACGAATTCCCCAAGGATCCCTAGACAACAACCTCGAACAGCCCCGGGCCGACTCGACCACAATCCTGAGTCACCTGTTCTTTTTTCGAGCATTCTCGTTATTGGTTTTTAAAGCGAAGAATGGGTCATGTTGTCAATTTTGTCATCGAAAAATAGTTCATTTGTATTTTTTGATTTTGTACTCAATGTACCAAAAATTAATACGCAACAACATCTTAAACTTTCACCAAAAAACCACGATCCATTAAAAAACGAAAGCAGATAAAGATAGCGCAGCTATTTTTGAATTTGTATGAAATTGGTTGAACTTGTCACATTTTCGATTTGGTCATTTTTTCATTCAATTGCGTTGTTAATGCTACCGAAAAATAATTCAAGAAACGGTTCTGCTGGTTCGGACGGCGACATTGGAACTTGATGGATTTGCAATTGTCATTGATTTGCCCTCTTCAAGCAAACGGATGCAAAACAACGGGCCAGGGTGGGGTACACTTACAATATGCCTCAACCCAAGGTTAAAAGATTGCACAGAATGGTAGCGAAAAACCATTCTGTACCGGCCTTGTGGTGTACTATTCTTGTAACAAAAACTTCAACGGGGATTCCATTAGCAGCTAGCATCTTTCTGGGCGTATAAGTCTTCTCTTCAATGGCTCGAGATAGTAATGCCTCACGATGCATGCCTCTCTTCCTATTTCTCTCTCCTCTAAAACTTGATATATTTTTTTTTGACGCTACATACAACTACCCTCATTAATCCCCCCTCTTCCAACCCCCACCTGATCCCAATTCACTCGATACTCCATTATATAATTCTCTCTCAAGCGCAAAATACCTCGGCTCAAATATCGTTCCCGCTGCTGCATCACTATCACTTGATACCAGTAGTACCGCACAAGGCGGTGGCGGAAGTTTCAAAAATAGGAAACCTATAGGAGAGGTTGGTTGTTGTGAATCAGGGATGGCAGAGCGAAGCCACTGATGGACTGAAAGGTGCTTGATCTCTCTCACTCTTTCTATCTCTTTCTCTGACTATCTACCTACCTACCTATCTGTTTTCTATGTATCTATCTATCTATCGATCGATCTATCTATCTATCTCTCTCTCTCTTCATCTAATTACCCAATCTATCTATCTATTACCCTGTCTGTCTATCTATCTATATCTATCTATCTCTCTCTTTCATCTGTCTATCTGTCTAGCTGTCTACCTGTCTATCTATCTATCTATCTGTCTGTCTGTCTGTCTGTCTGCAATGTAGTGTAATTGAGTGTCACTGAGTGCAGTGTAGTGTAGTGGAGTGTAGTTGTGGAGTTGCAGGTGTAGTTGTATTTTAGTGGAGGGTAGTGCAGTGTAATGTAGTGAAGTGTAGTGGAAGATGGTGTAATGGAGTGCAGTGTAGTTGTGTAGTTGTAGTTGTAGTGAAGTGTAGTGGAGGGTAGTGGAGTGTAATGTAGTGTAGTGTAGTGGAGTGTAGTGTAGTGTTAATGTAGTGTAGTGTAATTTAGTGTAGTGGAGTGTAGTGGAGTGTAGTTGTGTAGTTGTAGTTGTAGTGTAGTGGAGTGTAATGTAGTGAAGTGTAGTGTAGTGTAATTTAGTGTAGTGGAGTGTAATTTAGTGTAGTGGAGTGTAGTGGAGTGTAGTTGTGTAGTTGTAGTTGTAGTGTTGTGGAGTGTAGTGTAGTGTAAGGTAGCGCAGTGGAGCGTAATGTAGTGTAGTGTAGTTAAGCGAAGAGAAGGGAAGCACATCTGAACCTCCAAAAGTGGTCCAAGCCCCAAGTGTTTTTAACATTTTGGCTTCGAAATGTGCTTCGCGCCACAACGGCGTGCACTTTTTCGACATCTGAACTTCAAAAAGTGGTCCGAGACCGTCAGTTTTTAACACTTTTGACTTGGAAATGTGCTTCGCGCCACAACGGCGTGCACTTTTTCGACATCGCAACTTCCAAAAGTGGTCCGACGCTGAGGTGTTTTGTACATTTTGACTTGGAAATGTGCTTCGCGCCCCAACGGCGTGCACTTTTTCGACATCTCAACTTCCAAAAGTGGTCCGAACCTGGTGTGCTTTGTACATTTCGACTTGGAAATGTGCTTCGCGCCACAACGGCGTGCACTTTTTCGACATCTCAACTTCCAAAAGTGGTCCGACGCTGAGGTGTTTTGTACATTTTGACTTGGAAATGTGCTTCGCGCCACAGCGGCGTGCAATTTTTCATCGCTCCTGTGGCCAGCTGGCTCCGCACCCGCCGCTTTAGCGAGCCTACTTTTCGACCCTCCGGAGCCACAAATCATTGGAAAAACACAGTGTTTCGCAACTTTCCTACCTTTTCGCGCATCTGCATCTTCTGTCTTCTTACTCTTTCTCTTCTACTCTTCTTTCTTCTAATCTTTCTCTTCTCTCTGCCTCTTCCCTGCTCTGCTTTTCATCTCTCCATATTGTCGGAAGTTTGACTTCTAAACTTCCTTCGATAAATTTCTGTTCTTCCCAGGCCTCCTCTGCCTTTAAGTCTTTGACCCATTTTCCCGCAATTTTTTATTTCCCGACGATTCAAGCTTCGCGCCTGCACTCAGATTATTCGAGCCATTCCCCTGCATGGCTCTGAATCCAAGATCTCCTCTCCAGCTGCCTACTTTCATCGTATCATTACGCCATAGACTCCGCTTGCTCCAACGAATGCCTCCTCTTTTCTTACCCGGTACTACCGCCATATATTCCCTCCTCCATGCATATCTCCGACTCCCGAATCAAATACCTTGGTCACATCCTTCGGCATCTAAATAGCGTAGAGGCACCATTATATTTGATCCCTTCTTTTCTCTTTCCTACGAACTATTTCCTCTCCCTTTCGGTGGGGAGACCTCGCGCTACTACCGATCCTACTCCTACTCCTACTCCTACTACTACTGCTGCTGCTGCTACTACTACTACTACGACTACTACGACTACTACGACTACGACTACGGCTACAGCTACGGCTACGGCTACGACGACGACGACAACTATGACGATGACAACTATGACGACGAATACGACGACGACTAGTACTTAGTACTTAGACGTACTTAGTACTTAATACTTAATACAAGTACAAGGAGTAGTACTAGTACTAGTACTAGGAACACTACGATGAGGACTACTACAAGGACTGCTACAAGGATTATGAGGACTACTACCACTACCACTGCCACTACCTCTGCCACTACCACTACCAATACCACTAATTACTCGTCCTCCTACTGTACTACTACTGCTGCTGCTACTACTTTTTCTTATCGCAACACTTCTAGAGGACAACTGCAGGTTTTATCAAAGAACAAGACTCTTCGGAGCCGATAGGGGATAGCCGAAATCTACTTATAGCATCATTTAGGGATAATATAAAATATTGTCCGCCACTTGTATGAATATATTTACATCTATATACATGCATAAAATTGCACATCTTGCTTTTCTTTAACCGGCAATAACATAATCTTGCCGTATATCTTTATGACAAATTGAAAGTTGCAATAGGATTATATTATACTATATAAGTAAATAAACATACGGTTGGTTAAAAAAATATTGCTGTATATATAGTAGAGAAATGTATCACAATATGTTTTGCTTCTGACATCTTCTGACCATTCTAACCAGAACATATGATAACTATAAGCCGTTGTGCATTTGCAAAATGGACATGTATCAAAAACACATCTGTAAAACACAATATAGACTAATCATTTTCAATTTTGGCATACAATGGTGTATATATATAGATACATATCTACATATACACGTATCTTTAATGTCAAAAGATGTCTCATGACTCATTCATTCTGATTTTGAGGTGATGTTCTAGAGTCTATCTAGAGGTTGATACAGTACTGTATTTTATGTTTTTTTTAAAAACCTTTCCAACTTTTCCGTTGTTTTCTTATGTTTTATGATTGCTTCGGATTTTAACGTATTTCGAGACCAATTTGTTGATTGGTGAAGCTGTACATGTTTCTTACACACGGTATGTGAGCTTTCTAGCCCGTGAAACTGGAAAATGCCAGGGCCCGCCAATCAGCGCAGGTCAAGATTTTCCAATCTCAGTGAAGTTGGCAAGAGATGCAAGAGCTTGGCAAAGCTTGGTTTGGTTTCTGACCGTTTCTGGCTTTATGAAATTTCTACTCTGCCCAAAAAATTACGCACAGAATCGCCAACTATGACAGCCTGCTCTGAGACTGCGACTGCGCGGCCGATCACGG